TTCCTGCCTATGCAGGGGGTCGGACTCGATGATCTATTGAGGTCCCTTCCAACCCTAACATCTATGAATCTATGAATCTATGCCATACTTTCTAGTATACCATACACCTCCAAAGAAGGCACACCGCTTGTCTTCAGAAGACTGAACGAAGGCAAAAGAAAAAGCTTTCTTAGAAAATACAACATGTGCAACAGTAGCTGGATCAAAACCAGGGGGTCTGAGCCTCAGGCAGGCCTAAATCAATAAGCAGAGAGGATTCAGGGACAAGCCACATCAGGTGCTTGGAGATCAGAGTTCCCAATGGACCTGCATCATGAAGCCACAGTGGTGGTGAGGGTCCGGGCAACGGGACAGCGGGTCTGGGATCCAGAGGCAGCAGGTGATCCAGGGTCAGCAAAAGCCTTGTTGTTCAGACAGCTTCCTGCTCCCTGCCCAGGCTTTATAGGGACCAAAGGGAACAATCCATAGCCAGAAGCCCTGACTAATCAGGGGCCAGCAGTCGGAGGCCTTCCCTGCCACTCCACAAAGATCAAGCTACATCCTGGTGGACGGTCAAGCTTGTGATAAGCCTATAGGGCGGGGGTTTGGGCTGAGTCCTGATTGAATACAGGCCAGACATCCTAGCATCAGGCCCTCTTCTCCCTACATTTCTGTATTTAAGACCTATGCCCCATGGGGGTGGGGGAATAGATACCCGTTGTACATGAGGCAATACGGTGTGCGGTACAAGCGCCTGCTGTTTCTACCCAAACAGATCTTGGCCGGTGACCTAGACTACAAGATGGGAAGCATTTATTTATTTATTTCTCCCCTTCCCAAAGGCTGTTGAGAGCATCTTGGAAGCCAGCAAGGCTTTTAAATGATGTCCTTGCGAAGCAGCGGGTGTGTGAGAACTCTTGGAGGCCGTGCAGTATTTAGGCCAATGATATATACCTTGAACGGAGTCCAAGAATCTCGTCTGCAATGATGAAGTCAGTGCAAGAGAGAGAGAGACCTTCTCTTTGTCTTTTTAATTACATTATTACCAAACGAGGCGTGATGCACCCAGAGAAAGGAAAGAGAAGGGGCGGGAGGGGATATAGCAAATTCCCCCAGACTTCGCGACTTCACTGGCTTGCCTCTACGTCCATAAGTTCCTCACACTCAAAATGGCCCAGCAAAGAGTTGAACCCTTTGGGTCTTCTCTGCCAGGAGAGAAAGTCAGGCTGCTGCAACAGCCCCGGTGTGCGATGAAGGGGAAGAAGGGACAGGATTTGCTGTGGTAAAATGGTCCCACAAAAAATGGGACCCGATCCTGATGCCCCATTACCCTGTCACTTAAAGGGACTGTGTGCCAGCAGTTGCTCTCCCTTTGAACAGCCGGCTTGCCTACTGCAGTGCCCACAAATAGGGTGGTATCTCTTTAAGAGTCGCTGAACCCATTAGGGGTGCTGACTGTGTGATGTGGAGAGGGGGCCACAGAGGAAGATGCCTGCAGTGGGGACAAAGGAGATGAGAAAGGCCCTGCTCCACCCTCCTGACATGGCTCGTTATCCCCTTTCTGGCTCGGCTTTTTGCCCGCGCTTGATTGGGACCGTGCTGGGACCAGGGCCATCTCCTGCACAGCACCTAGAACGGATCTCAGGTCAGGTACCATGCTACAGGTCATCCCTCACCCCCGGCCAGCTCTCTCCTCTCCCGGCCAACCCACCGTTCTCATTCCTTTCACCCCTGGGCCAGGGGCCCTGTGAGTCGGTGATGCCAAGAGGGCACTGGTAGCTTGCCAAATGCCAGCAAGAGGTTGCCTGCTTGTCCTCCCACTGTCTGTGCTTAGGGGCAAGAAATGGCTCATGGACTGAGCTCATCAGCATCACCACCCCCCCACCCTGAGGCATCAGGAGCAGGGGGACTCTGAATTGCTGTCCCCCCCCCCGAGCCAGGCACAAGAGAAGAGGGGAAGGGGCTGCTCCATGATCCTCACCCCTGACCCCACTTAGAGCTGCCCCCAGGCTGCTATGTTTTGCACTGCTGGTGTTGGACAGCTCAGGACACCATGGATCTTCCAGCACGGAGTGATTTGGGGGTACAATCCTGCAGGCAAGCACATTGTAAAGTCCCCCCAGCAAGGGCCAGATTGCAGCTCCTTGTTGTAGCAGGTCCAACGGGGTCTGTTATATTAGCATAAGGCCCAAGGGCTTTAGGGTTCACAACAGCCAGCCGTTTCCCAGCCCTCCGCAAAGACTTTCACAGCAGACTCCTCTCAAGCCAACAGACCTGGAAATAAATACGGAGAACTGCCTGGAAGGACAGGCCAGCTCAGATTCCCCCGGCAAATGGCTCCCACCGTCGCCAGAGATGGCCTTAATTTCTGTCGGCTGGCAGCTGGGTTATAACCTCCAGGTTATTTCACTTAACACTGAATCCATCTTCCCCACGAGGCTTCATCGCCCTGAGAGCTGTGATTAAAGAGCCTTAAGGAAACTTGTTGCCACTGGAACCGTGTCCAGCACAAAGCAAACAGCCTGGGGAACGGTGGCGCGCGGCCCTGGACTCCTCGCGCCTTCTCAAATGACCTCCTGCCCTGTGGCATTGCTGTTGGCTGGTCAATCATCCCTGCATCCCACCCCAGAGGTGGCTGCATTTCCGTGGTGGAATGGTACTATCTAGCCCCTAAGTAGGTTTCCAGCCTGTTCTGGCTTCATGGGTCAGGGAAGAGGCTGGCAGACAAAGGGTTAAGCCATAGCTGCAAGTCGGGAGTGCAGCGAGGAAATAAGACTTACGATTTTAGCCGAGAGGGTAATTAACCCATGGAGCAGATTCCGGGGGGAGCCGTGGATCCGCCATCAGCGGAGTCCTTAAATCAAGGGAAGGAGAGAAGCCGCTCGGCATGGCAGGGTCTCTGCAGCCATTGCAGGCTGGGATGCTGGAGGGGGTGGGGGAGCATCAAACATTGGCAATTAAAAACCGTGCTAATAGCCTACTGCTCAGTGTGATTAGGCTAATGCGCAGTGAGCGGCACAAAATAACCATGCACCGGCGCTACTGCACAGTAACTCTAGTTACTGCGCATTTAATCAGGGCTTTATTCAGCAAGTACTAAACTAAATGCACGGTAATTAGGGTTGTTGGTTGTACCTAAAGAACCGGTAATTAGGGCACATTAATGAACGTGTAGACGTGCCCACTGTGTCACCAGCACTCTCACACTGGGTTGGGATCAGATCTGTCTCGGCCTGGTTTTATGGGCACCAGCAGGTCCCTGCTAGGGTGTAGGGGAAGATGGGAGCTAAACAGAGAAAGGTTTCGGGGGCCGGAAAAAGAAAGAAAAGTGGGGCCAGGAACCATGAGATGTTGGAAGAGGAAGGCAGAGAGGGGCCTGATTCTGCCCTGCCTTGCATAAAGGCATGTGATGTGGATTTAGGATCCCAGAAGGGCAGGGACGCCACGGCACCTAGTTCTTTATCTGCCTCTTCCACTGCAGAAGGCAAGAAATCTTGGGGTCGATATCTTCGATGGGAACAACTGCGTGGTTGGGATAGACATAAACATCACGGTGCACTTCCTCGGACCTCTGGGAAAGGAGAAGATGCAGGAGAGCTAAGTAGCAGATGGAAGAAAAGCTGGGGTAAAACTCCAGGTGTAAATAAGAACAGGATATAAGAGAAATTAAATGGATAGCAGAAGAACGGGGTTGTTCAGGCGGGTCATTATCCCCTGTCAAGTGCAGAAAACCCCCGGGCCGCCACCTCTACCCACCAAACCAGCACTCGCACCAAAACCATGGCTGCACGTGATGCCGGTTTTCAAGCTCACCACTGCAAGGGCTATTGAAGATCAGGGCTGAATGAGACATCTCAAGGAGCTGAGGTCCCCGCTATGTTCCCTCGTCTCTCTTCCAGCCCCGCAGGGCACGGACAGATTTTGACCCCTCCGTTGTCTCGGCGCTGGCAGCACTTCCCGGCGCTGAAGTCACAGGCACAAATAGCAGCGCTGCTCAGAGGCTGGCCGGCGAGAGCTGGGCTGACAGCCACCTCAGCTGCCTGGGGCCCTGCCAAGCTCCCCGCACACCTTGGATTTCAAGGGCAGAAATTTCACACCCACTTGAAAATGAAGCTGAACTGGGGCTTTCGAATTCCAGCCCTCTACTCTCTGTGAGCGTGTGCCCACCAAGAGAGAAACCCCTGAGAAAACAAAATGATCCAATATTTAACAAGCTGGAGATGGACACAGGTGATCTGGTGTCTGTTCTTTCCTCTGCCACAGCCTCTCTGTGTGGCCCTGGGCCAATCACATCATCTCCTTGATGTGTTGGTAAGCCTACATGGGTGGTAATGGGACAGCAATCTGTCTTGCTCTCCACCCGTACAGCATAAGGGAGCCCTGAGTGTGACTGTCAGCCCCTCGGTGACATCGAGGAAAAGATTCCTGTCAAAAGGGGAGAATAGCAGAAGCATTATTGATGGAGATCTGGAGACCACTGGGGATGGTGGAGCTCTGCAAGGAGGTTTATCACCACCAGTGAGAGTCTTCTTGCATTGCCTCCTGCTTTAAAAGTGGAAATGAGAGAGCAGAAGTGACCAGTCCCATGCCTCCAAGAATGGGGGTCACACTGACCAGATGGTGGCACCGGGACTGGAAATGGGGCAGGGTGGAACATGAGCCCCGAGTGCAGAGACGTAGTGAACCAGGTAGGCAATGTCCTTGGACCCATCCACAAAAGACAGGGCTGGCGCGGGGGAATAGATGCTATGAGCCAGGCCTTTGCCATGTGCCACCTGCCTTGTGTGCCAGCTGGTTCTCAAGGACTGGAGCAGGGTGGAACAGGATGGTATTTAGGTGCCTAAATCCCATGGGTGAAACAGGTAGCAGTCTAGCAACAGCAATATGGAGCTGGGCATGATCTCACCCCACCAAGCACCCTTGCAATGACTAGCAGCATCCCAGCAGCCTGGTCTGAAGCCAGCTTGGGTGAATCCATGCAGTGTCTGCAAAGTGGACACCCCTAAAAACAGAGCCAGGCCCAGGGATTGAAGCTGGACACATCCAGACGAGGCATCAGGTCCTAATGCTCATGGGCGACGAGAAGTCATTCTTGGAAGAGCTTCCCTGGGCAGGAGGTAGTCCCAGGTCCTTCCATTAACCTTTGGGATACTGTGGTGTGGACAGAAAACAACCGGGGTATTAAACAGTTTCCCAATGAGTAGCTTGGAAAGCGCCGGGGCTCTTAGCAAGCCAGGCCTGAGCCTGAAGGCTTGCAATGAAACACGAAGCCGGGAGAGCATTTTCCCGGCCCAGGAGTTTGAGGCTTGGGTACCAGAATTTCCAGCAAGGTCCGATGCTTCCAGGTCTGGATCTCAGGAGGGAAGAGCTCCCTGGGAAGATTTCAGGTCAAACCTGCTGGGATGTTCCCTGGGAAGCGCAGAAGTGGGGCCGTTCCAGAGATGCACAGTCTAGGCTGGAAGGAGCAGCAAGATTTTCTCGGCCTCCCGTTTCCAGAGGGGGTACGGGGATGGGGGCTGCATCACGTGATCCCTGCCCCCAGGGAAGAAACGGCGGGGAGGAGGGGGCAGATGCAGTGGGTGCTGATAGGTGCTGGGAAAATGCTGGGCTACCCCGGAGGTGACCTTGTTCCCATTCCCCTTTCATGGACCGCTGTGAGGCATCCTTGTTGTTGCCTGGGCGGAGCATGCTCCTACACGCTCGCACACACCTGCACACCCCCGAGCCCTCTGCAGGGAGCAGGTCAAGGTCTTGGCCCTGCTACTGCCTTGCTCCTTTTCCCCCATCCAGGTCCCCCCGAGTCAACGACATCCACCAGCCCAGGCCCTGGCCTGGGCGCTGGGCCTGGGGTCGAGACAGGAGCCCGGCTGACCCCGCAAGCAATGCACACCCCTGGCAGGGGGCTGTCAGGGGGCTTCGGGACCAAATGGTCTCCCTGGCTGAAGCCAGCCTGCATCAGGCTCAGGGTTGGACTTGCCCTGGACCTGGATGGCGTGGCACACTGCAGCACCTTTCAAAGCATCTCGTGGCACTCCAGGGCACCCTGGCTGAGAATCACTGATCTGGGGCTAATTACCAGGGCTAATTAGCCTGGGTGCTGTGCCACCTGAGTGTGGTGACACTGCTCTCCACCCGCCTCGAGCCAGTTTACGGGGTGAAACGGCGCCACCTGCGTCCACACACACAGGGCAGACCTGGCAGAGACACTTTGCTTTCCAAGCTCTTCTTGGGGAACTGAGACAGCCCTGAAATTTGGGAATACCCTGGACAATTTGGGGTGCTTGGCTACCTTATCAGGGGACCATTCCCATCAGGCACCCTCCGCGGTTGGCCAGAGGGGTCTCGGTGGGGCCAGGGGGCTCCTGTCTCACTAAAAGGGGTGCTGGGTGGGTGGAAAGGTCCCAAAGCCAGATCTGGAGGCCAGTGCAGGGCAGGATTCCCATTAACAAGGGCGAAAGGACAGTACTTTTAGCTTTCAGCCAGTGCCGGGGTCAGGCCAGTGTCTCCAGCCTGCTCCCAGCCTGGCAGCTGGGCAGGAAACGGCTGGTGTTTCCTTGACCCCCCCAGGGCAAGGGGCTTCTCCTCAGAGACCAGAGGGCAGGACCGTGGCCCTGGGCATCCCACAGGGATGGCCTCTCCTGGGCACGGGGGACTCAGGGCCTGAGGCCTGACACCAAACACCTACAGCAAGGTCAGGGGTATGCTGAGAGGAGGGACACACCCCTGGGCTGTGTGCACACACACTCACACCCACGTACACATATACACAAAAACACACCTGCACATGTGCATACATCCAGAAAGACCCTCACACACGTGCACCCACACACAAAGCAACATCCTATGCATGTACGTGCACTCAAGAATACGCACAAATACCACACATGCACATGCCCATTCTCTCTGAAACACACACAGTCACCGAAACACTCCACACTCATGTACACATGTACACAGAAATACACATGCACACGTACATACCTACAGAAAGACACACACACACACGCACACAGAGCAACAGCCTACTCATGTGTGCACCCACAATATGCCCACACACTGCACATGCAAATGCCTGCTCTCCAAAACACGGTCCCCAAAACTAACGCTCCACACTCATGTACATGTATACATAGAAATACACAAGTACATGCATGCACATGTACATACCTAAAGACCGACCAACCCCCCCCACACACACACACAGAGTAACATCTCTACTCACATATGCACACACACTGCACATGCAAATACCCATTCTCCCTGAAACACAAGCAGTCACCAAACCTAACACTCCCACATGCCCTTGCACAAACTCACAAGGCCTTTTGGTAAGACCCCAGTGCTACACACACACATTCACACATGCACACTCACATGCCCTCCCTGGGATGCCCAGGGACGCATTCACACATGCACAAGCTCTCATCCTGTCCCTTCAGCACACAAAAACACACCCAGAAACTTGCACACACCTGTATGGGCTGTGAAACCCAAAGACACTCGCTCAGCTTCTCTCCCACCCTCCCTGAGACACTGACACAAAGATGTATGTTCACACCAGCACAACCTCACACCCCCGCCTGTGACACCCCCACCCCATCACTCCTATCAGCTCACCCCATGCTGAGAGGCCCCTCAGAGCCACAGGCCCCAATGGCAGGCAGAAGGCTCAGCATACCCATACTGGTACCAGCTTGCAGCCAGGTCTTCACCGGTTCACCAGTGAATCTAGAACCCACTTGCCAATGAATGTAGACCAGAAACCCACTCACCAACCGATCAAGAACACAGCACCCATTCACTAATTAATCTGGACTCTGCTAGAGGTGCACTAAGCTACAGGCTCCTTCCTCAGGCTGCCCAGCAGCTCCAGAGCTTGTGTCCAGACCTTCCTGAGGTTTGCCAGCTTCTAGATTAGCTGTGGGGGGCAGTTCTGGATCATCTGGCACTATCTCTAGATCGCTGTACTGGCCGGGTACCTGACTCTCCAGCTCAGGTCCTGGACACGTCTCTGCAGGTTCCAGATCACTCTTGTGAGCTGGGTTCTAGATCTGCTACGCAGGTTCTAGGTTGGTCTTGTACGTCCATTTTAGACTGGCCTCCTGCTCATGTTCTAGGTCCGTGGCTCCCAACCAGGGCTCCGCAGCATTCAGGGTGCCATGAGATCCTTTTAAGGGTGTTGCATGGTGCCAAGCAATTTCAACCCTAAATCGGGTGCAGGTACCTACACACGGTTCACAAGAGAACCCCTGAGATTTCCAGTAGGAATCAGAGAACAGGAGGGTTGGAAGGGACCTCGGGAGGTCACATCTAATCCAACCCCCTGCTCCAAGCAGGACCAGGTCCATCTAGATCAAATCGTCCCCAACTAGATCAGCATCCAGTGTGTCCAAACAATCCTGCCCGGTTGTGGATTTGCTGAGATTTTTGCCATGGGAGAATTGCTCTAGGACTTTCCCGTAGCCAAGAAATGAGTGAAAGCCAAGAGCTGGCATTTCCTGAGGGTGACCTGCAGTCCAACAAGGGGCCCTTGACTGGTGTAGGGGACAGTGATGAGGTGCTTTCCCTTTAAAGAGTTTGGGACCCAGCTGAGGGAGGTGTTCACGGTGTGCCATGCTGTAGAAGCTGCAGGCCGCCGGGGCAGCAGTACGGGTGGATCTCAGACTGGGATGAGGGTTGGGAGGGAGAGGCTCTCTGTATAGGGACCATCACGGCATACAGCAAGGCAGAGCTGTGAGCTTCCTGCAGCGGCTGCACTTCATCTTGCTCCGGAAGGTGCTCTGGGGTTAATGATGTGTGCCGTTATTTATAGCCTCGCACTCGGAGAATCACGGTGGATTTATCGGCGGCTTCTATAAATAACACAGCAAAACCCTCTGCAGGGAAGGGGTGGGGGTCAGCAAAGGGTGGGGGGGAGCAGATACCTCTGTCCCCAGGCTCTTTCCAACAAGTGGCCTCCCCCTACAACAGCCCCCAGGCAGTTACTGTGCATTTTAGGTGATGTCTTTATCTCCAATTTAGTTGCACTCGCAGGTTTTAGACTAGCTTCTCTGGAGGTTCTAGATTAGAGCCTGATGCACGCTTTGAAGGAGTCCATTTTGTGTGTGTGCAGCAGTCCATGCCCACATACACGGTTCTGAATGGCTCCAGGCTGCACGTTCTAGATTCACAGGTTCCCGATTTCTTGATGAGAGGCCTCCAGGTTTCAGATTCTTTGGCACGAGTTCCAGGTCTAGATTTATTGGTGAGTAGCTTCCAGGTTCTAGATTAATTAGTAAATGGGTGCAACGTTCTCGACTGGTTGGTGGGCGAGTTCCTGGTCTACATGTATTGGCAATTGGGTTCTAGATGCATCAAACTGTTTCCAGTTTCTAGATTCATTGATGATAGGGCCCCAGGTCTGGACTCATTGGCAGGCAGGCTGTAGGTTCTAGATTCATTGGCAAGCGGGTTCAAGCTCTAGATTCGTTGGTGAGGGGTTCCAGGTCAGACTAGCGTGTTGCTGTAGGAGGGCTTTTCCATTAGTGTGTGGCATCAGATTCCCTATTCCCACGTTGGGGTGCTCGGTGGCTCTTACGGCAAGGCTCATCATTAGCTGGAAGCATGCGGGGGAGATCTGTCTTCTACGCAGGTTCTAGGTCATTCATGTAGGGCTGAGAATAGCACAGGTGGGGTGTGCCAGATGCCAGGTCCCACTGCATGTGAGGGTGGCAGGGTTGCACATACACCCCTACCTTCTGTGTGTCATGGACCCTGCCTAGCCAGCAAATCTAAGAGGCTCTCCCTTTGGGCTGGAGTCTGGAGAAACGGAGGCATGGGGGTGAGTTAGGGTCAGTCCAGGGGGATGGAAACCAAGCATCCTAGGGCTCTATCCACAGGCTCTTTCCTGGGTGGACTCAGGGCTAGTGGGGTCCCGAGTTCCCTTTGCAGCCTGTAGCTAATGCCAGAAAGGGGGTGGCTAGCAGAGGTGGGCTAGCACAGTGGGACCAAGCCACCGGGCACTTCCACAGAGCCTAAATCCAAAAGTGCCCCATCCTGGTAGCAGGGGGTGATGGTGGTTATGCATGGCGGGGAAAGGGGGAAGGGGCAAAATGGGGCTTTACCCTGCAGTCTCAGCCCTGCACCCCATGGTGCAAAGCCTCTCTCAAGATTGGGCCCCTGGGGCCAGGAAGGGTCATGCCACATGCCTCCGAAATCCAGAGGCGGATTGTTATGTATTAGCATATGCACACCAGATGCTAATCACACAGTAAGAACAGAGGAGGGGAGGTGGGAGGGCAGTATGACTCCCCCCATCGAACCCCCTTGCTCCACTAAAGGGGTCTGCAGGGAACCCAGGCATCCTGGCAGTGCCCGGCTGACCTGCATGCGATGAAATCGAACCCCCAGCCAGGCCCACAGACAGCTCCCCCAGCTGCCTCTCACAGCTTTGGGGCTCCCTTGTCAATGCGATGTTGACCCCAGATGACTCCAGGGCAGGGCAGATGCAGGAGCCCCCGGAGAGGGGATGGGAAACACTCCAGCTGGACCGGGGGGAGACCCCAGGCGTCCCCAACCCAGAAGCCCAGGCCTGATGCCAGCAGCTGGCTCAGGTGACTGGGTATTGAGTGCTGCAAATGTGCCGACTGGGTTGTAACATAAAGCCAGGGCTGCGGGGGTCACTTTCAGACAGATGCCCCCCACCCTGGCCTGCCCCATGCCAGCAAATCTTGCCTCTGCAGAAGGAGCCTCCCAAGCCATGCTCAGGGGAAGGGGGGCAGGGATCGGGGACCAGACCCCCCACCCCCTCTGCTCCCCGATAGCTAAAAGCCTCTGGGCCTGGCCTCCAGCTGAGCTGGAGTGACTGCAAGGGGGGGTGGGACACACCTCTGCCTGGTACCCCCAGTGCTGCCCTCTTCTAGGCAGAGTTGGCACTGCCCAGCTGCGTGTCTGAGATCCCGTAATGCCCAGCTCAGAGGGGGAGTCTCCCATAGCTCCTGTCTTCCCAGCTTGGCTGCCCTCCCAGGCACCCACATTGGGGAGGAAGGGAGGAAATCACATGGGCTTCACCTCCCCCCGCATCAAGACAAGCAGGACCCACAGCTCGAATCCAGCGAGGTACTTAGGCACTGGGAGGCCTGAAAGAGTTAGACACCCCCCTGCTTTGAGGATGCTGGTCTCATGTGTATGGACATGTGTGTGCATATGCATGTATAGGCATGTGCATGCGTGGGTGTGGGTGTGCGCCGGTGTACATGTGCTCACGTATCTGCTTGTGCAGCATGGTGCGCCCCGCCTGGCCCAGCCCTCCAGCTTGTGCCTCACCCTTCTCGAAGCCAGTGATGTTGCTGCCTTCCCCAGGGGTGAGACTGTACGGTAATCAGAGAAGGCAAGTCTGGCATCACAGAGGCTTCTGGGAGACCCGTGGAAGAGGGTTTCTCATGGGAAGATGAGTGGGGCATGATGCCCTTGGCTAAAAAAAAAGGACATCGTTTTCTTGGCCTCCTGGGGGACGGGGGGTAGTACCCCTCAGAGCACAGATGGGGAAACTGAGGCACGGGCAGGCTGGCCCCACTGAGCTGGAGCTGGCCCAGGGGGACTGAGGGACCTTTAGAAGAAAGCATCTGCCACAGGGAATCACTGAGACCAAGGCAGGGCTTGCAACCGGCCCCCAGCACCCTGGCCACATGCCCTTCGTTGGCTCCTAACCCTGGCTGCTAGCAATAAACCATCCCTCCCAGAGCCCCGGCACGCTGTGTACAGCACCGAGCGCCTTCCCAGCACTCACAGCTGGCTGGAATACACCACCCAACACCCAAAAGTGCCTCCGCGGGAAGGTGCATTCATCCCAGGCCCAGCTGCACAGGTTTGGCTGCCAAACAGGGCCGGTAGCATTCGTGGAGAAAGGAGACATCTTCAGACAGGGAGCACATTTGCCGACGGCAGCTACACGATCCCACCTGGATCCCCCACCGTGGCCGGCCGCGGGCAGGGACGCACCCAGAACAAACGGCCTTTGATCTGGCACCTGGGCCCCTGTCGACAGCCCGGGGGCAGGGCTGGGGCAACAGACGCCCGCAAATGCAGAGCCAGTTGCTCTGGGAAGGATGGGAGATGCAGGGGGTGGGAGTGGGGGGGGGGATCAAGGTGCTGGCTCTGACCCTGCAAAGTCCTTCGCCACATACAAGCCAGCACAGGTTTAACCGGTGATTCTCAACTGGGGTTAAACAGGTTCTTTTAAGGGTGCAACAACTTACCCACAGCTCACAAGAAAAACCCGGAGATTGCCGATAGGAATCCAGAGAGCCCCCAGCATCCTGCCCTGCTGCACAGTCTGAGTTGCTTCCAACAAAAGAACGGTGCTAGGATTTTTCTGTAGTCAAGAAATGGGTGAAAGCCAAGGGCTGGTAACCGGGGTCTGTCCTGAGCAAGGGGACCCCAGGCTGCACGGGCCAGGAGTCTGCACATTCACAAAGGGAAAAGAGCCCAAGGGGAAACTGAGGCAGAAGGCACAGGAAGGCAAGGAGAACGTGACCACCATCGACAGGGCCGAACCAGAGGCCCGCCATACGCAGGGCTCTGACCACCCAACTTCTCCGAGGACATCACACCCGCTAACGCCCACCGAGAGAGGGAGTCAGAGGAGACAAGAGGCCCCAGCAGAAATATTTAATGCCTTGTCGTCAGAGGAAGGACAATTACAGCTCCCCGACACCCCCCGCCCCCTGCTTGCTGGGCAGCAGCGTCCAGCCAGGTCTTCCCCAAGACAGAGACGGTTTTCCCCGAGACAGAGACTTTGCCAACCCTAATAGCAGATTTTCAACCCAGACCGTTTCTCTCCCAAGTGCAGCTTCAGTGTTGGAGTGAAACAGGCCATTGCACAGCCAAAGCCAGGGCAATTCACTTGTCCTCCTGCCACATTCCCCCAAGTCCCGTATATTCTTGAAAACAACACACATCTCCTGCCAACCAGATTCAACTCCTGGAATCGGGGGGTGAGTATAAGTGAGGAAGTATGGTAATAGCAGTTTCTGCCTGTTGGGGCTGGGGGGGGTAAAAGTTAGGCTGTACTTGCTGCTGACTGCGGACACCCTTCCCGCTCCCCCTCCCCAGCCCATTGCAGAAGCAAGGACAGACCTTTTCCTCCCTCATTCTGCCTTTCCAAAACAACGGGAGTCTTGTTCAGGGGTGCGTGGTATGCAAGACTGTACGGCAATCAGAGCGAGCAGGTCTGGAGATACAGAGGCTCCTGGGAGACCCGGGGCAGAGGGTTTCTCACGGGAAGCCGAGTGGGACGTGAGCCCCTTGACTAAAAATAAAGGGTGCTGCCTTCTTGGGCCCTTAGGGGGGTAAGAAAGTTACAGCACCCCCTCCTCTCCGCCCCCCCACTACAGATGGGGAAACTGAGGCAGGCTCTGGGACTTGGTCACAGCAGAAGGCTGCGGCAGAGGAGAGGCTTAACCCCTCGCCTCCCGTGGCCCCATCAAGAGCCCTAGCCACCAGACTATCCTTCCATGGCCCAGCTAGTCCCACCATGATGGAAACCAGGGGGGCAGATAGGGTGCCCCCAAAACCCCAGCAGCCCCTGCGGGAAACCGGGCATGTAGTGTTAAGTGGGTGAGAGGAGAGGGGGCTGTAAGGCGGGGGGGGAGGGGGTAGTGTGGCTGTGAGCCCCATCTTATAAGTTGGGGGGCCTGGTAGCCAGTGGCTAGCACCATAAACACGGGTGCCCATGGAGGCACGGGGCAGAGGATGGAGATGAGGGGGGACCCCGGCCCCGCAGCAGGGCAGAGCTCAGGGGCTGGGCAAGGGCAGCACCCCAAGCTCAGCCAGCCGGACCTTGGCCATGGCTTCCCAGCCCTTGTTGGCCTGGGGGCTGCGGGGAGAGGGGTGCAGGAGCCCCTCCACCCGCACCCGCAGGCCAGCCGCGGCCAGCGCTTTGCGCGCCCGCTGCTCGGCCAGTCGGCCCACGCCGATCACCAGGGAGACCCCCAGCAGCCCAGCGGCCCGGGCCAGGCCGTCATCGCAAGCCCGGAGCAGGGCCTCGCGCTGGGATGCCGGCAGGTCGGCCG